AAAAAAAAAAAAAAAAGAAGAAGAATATGTATTATCTGTAAGGTATATGTAGTTTGATGTGACATATTTTATAAATTCCAAGATGTCATTGATTATAAGACATTATCAATTTAGTGACACTTCTAAGGAATAATTTAAATGTCTATTACGTTTAGTAAGCGTTATAAGATGTATCCCAGTTTCAGATATGTGGAAAAAACTAATGATTAAGAGTCTTATCCTCCAAGTTCTTATTTTGAGAGTCTACTGTTTTTATTAAATTCTGAGTGTACTAAAGTTTTGTTCTTTTATTGTGTTTTGTCTATTTCTCCTTGTATTTTTAATTGACTTTATATTTTTGTATTTCAGTGCTTTATTATTCCATGTAAAAAGGTTCATGACTTTTTTGTGGAGTCTTTATTGCTTTACTAGTCTTGTAGCATTTAATGCTTTTTTAAAAATTTAATTAAATTAATTTATTTGGCATGCGGGCTCTTATTGGTGGCATGCGGGATCTAGTTCCATGACCAGGGATTGAACCCGGGCCCCCTGCATTGGGAACATGGAGTCTTAACCACTGGACCACCAGGGAAGTCCCAGTGCTTTTTTTTTCTTAATACAGCTTTGCCACATCTGCATTCGTTTTATTTGCATCTACCTGGTGGATTTTGCTGCCCCTCTACTTTCAGCTAATGTATGTCATCTTGTTTTAGGCGTTTCACTTATGAACAGGATTTTTAGCTTTTACCCAATCTTAGGGTTTGCCTTTCCTGGGAATTTTTCTCTTTTATCATGATTATGTTTAATTTATTCCTGCCACCTTATTTTGTGCTTTCATCTCCTTTTTTTCCTTTTTGCTGTATTTGAATATTTATTTCATTTATCTCCCCTTCATTCGTATGGAAATTTTACTATTTTTACTCTACTAGTGTAAACGTTTAAATTAAAAATATACATGTTTAAGACTCACAGATATAGAAAACAAACTTGTGGTTACCAAAGGAGAGAGGGAAGGGGGAGGAACAAATTAGGGATGTAGGATTAACAGGTATAAACTACCATGTATAAAATAGATGAGGCAACAAGGGTATACTGTACAGCACAGAGAATTATAGCCATTATCTTGTAATAAACTATAATGGAGTATAAATTGCAAAAATACAGAATCACTATGCTGTACACCTGAAACTAATATAACATTGTAAAACAGCTATACTTCAATAAAATATATATATATAAATGTTTAAACCTATTTATCAGTGTTAATAGGGTCTCTATGAAAGAAAAAAATAAATTTTACTACTTTTTTTTATTACTTTCTTCTCCAGACTCCATCCCCCAGGTATGGAAATCTATAGTTTTATAGATCCAGAATGTTTTATGTAGTGAAATTTTTCTCTCTCTCTCTCTCTCTCTCTCTCTCTCTCTTTTTTTTTTTTTTTTTCTGGCCATGCCACAAGCCTTGTGGGATCTTAGTTTCCTGACCAGGGATTGAACCTGGATACCAGCAGTGAAAGTACCAAGTCCTAACCACGGGACCACCAGGACATTCCCTGAAATTTCTCTTTTAACTATAGAAATTGGCAGTAAACTTCTTCACCACATTCATAATAATTACTTTATACTTAACTGTTCTACTGGTCATTCACTGACCACTGTCTTCTTATTACTTCTTCCCATTTCTTAATTCTTTATTTTGATTCATTTTTCAATTGGTTGAAATATATTTTAGAGGATTTTTTTTTCAGAATGTGGTTGGTATAATTTCTGAGTGATTGCTTGTCTTAAAATGTCTTTGGTTTCTGTTGTAGGGAAGTGTTATATGGTTCTGATCTTTTTTTTTTTTAATAAGTAATTAATGTTTTCCCCCCTCCTTAAGTTTTTGTTTTGTTTTGCTTTCATGAATTGTTGACATCTTGCTAGGTTAGGTCTGGGGGTGTGTGTGTGTGTGTGTGAAAGCTGTATATGTAAGTCTATATTAAATCCTTTCTGGTACTTAGTGAATTTCTCTGGTGGAAAGTCTCACATCTTCAGAGATTTTCTTCAATTTTTTTCTTTGATTTTGGCTTCTTTTTCATCTGATCAGTTCCCCCTGACTATAACTCCTAGTTGTAGCATGGTTTTAAACTTCCTTTCTGTTCTAAAATACCTAGAGATATGTCATGTTTCTACTAGACAGTGATTCTCAGTGATGGTGAAATTTGATGAGAAGGAGACCTTATGAGTAGTGGTCTTCCTCTGCTGATCTCTTTTTTTATTGTGGGTGGCATTTCACCATTCTATATTGGACTTTTATCTCATGAGAAGGAAAATCGTTTGCTTTGGTTAGGTAGCTTTGTCTGAGATATGGGTACTGTGAAGTTGCACATCATTTTAGCTTTTGTTTGAAAAGTTGTTTGATACAAAATTGTATTCACTGCTGTCAGGTAGGACACAAGTGACATTACATCTTGATGTATCTTTCCAGAGAAAAGAAAGAAAACACAAAAAATACCCTACCACTATATAACAATGTATATTGGATCTCCTAAACTGTATTTCTTTTTATTTCTTTCATAATTTTCTGCTTTTTTTCTCTTAGTTTAGGGGAAATTCCTTGAGTTGATATTCTGTATGATATTCACTAATTAGGTTTACTGCAGTTTACAGTCTGCTGGTTACTATCTTCATTGGGAGTTTTGTTTTGGCAATTGCGTTTTTCTCCTCTAAGAATGTTCTTTTCATATTGCTCCGTTTTGTTTGTTTGTTTTCTGACCACGCCACGCTGCATGTGGGATCTTAGTTCCCTGACCAGGGATCAAACCCATGCCCCCTGCAGTGGAAGTGCAGAGTCTTAACCACTGGACTGCCAGGGAGGTCAGTTGTTCCTCTTTTATGATAGCCTGTTCTTATCAATGTGGCAGTCTCGAGTCCCATTGAGATTTTTTTGTTTTCTCCTGTTTGTGGCAATAGCTCTGTCTCCTGAGAGGCTGCTTGTCCTGAACACACGGATGGGTCCACTCCTTTTGAATTGCTGGATATTTTTATATCCAATGATTGTCCCTCTATTGTTTATATGTTTGAAGGGATATTTGCATACGTTCTGTAGCTGAAATAGGTTCTTTAGAAATTGTGTAGGCCTCTGTACAGTTTTTTATTCTGGAACAGGCTCCCTTTGGTAACCCAAAGCCTGCCAGTAGAATCCCCACCCCAGTCAACCTACTGCATCTGCCATCGCAGTGCCCTACTCCACTCAGCAGGCTTCCCTGCAGTCTCAGAGCTATGCTGTAGCCATGGGCTCCCTCCCGTCTCTGGTGACACCACCAGAGACTCGAGTAGATTCAAATTTGTCCTCCTGCTTCAACCTCCAGCTCTCAGCCAGGGGCCATTTGTGAGGCTGGTTTGTGTTTGTGGGTTGCAGGATTGAAAGCAGGGAAGTTGTTTTGTGATCCACTCTGCTCTACACACATACTCTGCTGAAGGCTTCCAAAGCATAGGACCCCTCTTTGGAATCCAGGGGTGATATTTAGCCAAACTGGACCACTTGTGGTTGTCTAACCTCTCCCCCCACCCCATGTATTTTTATCTCTACCTGAAATACTTTCTTCTTAATCCCCATTTCCATCTGTGGAGATTCTATGTATCATTTACTTCCCAGCTTAATGCCACTTTTTTTCCCAGAAACTTTCTCAGATTCCCTCCACCATACCGTGATCACCCCTTTGTTGTATGTTCTGCTTTATAGTCTAGCTCTCCATATCTTTGTCACCCCCTTTCCGTATGCATTATGAGCTACTTGAGTTTGGGAACCATGTCTTGCTCGCCTTTATATGGAGAAGTATTAGAATGAAGAAGTTAGAGGAAGCCAGGTTTGAGTCTCTATTCAACACTTACCATGAAACTTTGGACAAGTAAGTTCCTTAACCTTTCTGAGTGGATGTTCTCAAGAAAATGGGCATAACAGTAGTACCTACCTCATGATGCTGTTTTGAAGATTAAATGAGATAACATAGCACAGTGAACATTGAGATAAATCTTAGTTTTGTTTCTGTACCCCCTACAGCACCTAGCTCACGTAGCATCTTATCCACACAGGCCTTCAGTTCATGGTGACTGAATGAACGCAAATCAGAGTGCTTTTCGCAAAACTCACCTTTGGGTTGAGTCAGTGGCAGAGCCCAGGAAAGAATCCAGGGTTCCTGAGTATCTTAGACACGTTCCCACCTGCACATGCTGAGTAAGTGGGTCTCCACATGCCTTTCATAAAGTGTCTAGAATCGAGGAGGAGGGATTTGGTTTTGTTTGTTCATTTGTTTGTTTAACAAACTGTAGCCTTACTATAAGAGAGAAAGAACTCGGTTTGATTGGTTGGATTTTCAAATAATCAGTTACTTTCTTGTCTGGGTTGAAGTTTTAGAAAGAAATAGCCACAAATGGAAGCTCAGAAGAGAAGCAACATAGTGTTACGGTGGAAATATCTGATTCCAAGTAGAGTTTCAGATGGTTGTTGATTGTTAAGTCCTCCTCCAACATGCTCCACAAACCCAGCAATCAGCGAATGTGCTAATTCTATGGGTGGTTCTTCCTCTGCTGTTCTTTGGTATGCTGAAGGTGGCACGTCATCTCCCTCTGTCAGATTTTTGTCTAGTAAGGTAGGAAAATCTCTTCCTTGATTATGTAGCTTTGACTAAGCTGAGGGATGTGATTATATCTTTTTAGTGGAAGGAAACTTTTGTAATTGCATCTCTCATTGATTATTACACTTGTGGGCGGGTGGGTAGAAGGGTGGTAAATACTGTGAAGTAAATATGCCTTCTAGGAAATTCTCCTCTTTCATAATTTACCTCTAGGCCTGCACTGTCCCCAGTCTTGGAAACTTGCTGGATATGATGTACCAGGAGCCAGCACGATGGTGCTACACATTCCAGACATTTTCTTTTATGAGCCGCCTGAAAGTACAGTTGGAGCCCTTCCCTGAGAAACTCTTAGAGGCCAAGAAGGCGGTACAGATCTTTGAGAGGTCTGTATACAGCGACAGGTAAGACCCTGAGCCCTCCACCAGTCACAAGCTCTGTGCTTAGCACTGCATGTTTTCTCCTCTTGCTCAGACTCTGCACTGCTCTTGTCATTGAAAATTATACTTGAAAAAATTGTCTTTTTAAAGACACTATACAGATTTGTTCAGACTTATAATTTCACAGTTACCATATATGTCAAGAAAGGAGACTGTGTTTTTCATAATCTGAATGCATTTAATTTCTCACATTGGCACTGATTATGTTTCCTTATTCTTTTCTAGCATAGAAGCAGGCGGGTAGCTACCTAGTATAACCATTACATGCTAAAAGGCACAGAATAGACACTTAAGTAGCAGCATATGTTCTAGCAAACCAAATGAATCAGTGGTTGGTTATCACCTGGGAGAAAAAAGCAGTCAGAATTAAAATGCATTCCTAAAATGATAGGAGAAATAAATTTATCCTTTTTAAAAATTCTTCAAGAAAGGATTTCTGAGTAGAAATAGCAGATTTGTAAAATTGGCTTCTATCTTGGATTTAACCTTTTTTGACCCTTTGTTGTGTGGCAGGGCTTATTGTTGGGCAGAATCTGTAAGAGACATCCAGTCGCTTACAGGTCAGAGGAAGAGCATCATCCTGACCACCTGAGGGAGTGAGATGGGGAGTCACTTTTAATGAAAGCTAGCAGATAGCTTGGGAATTCAGCCCATCTGTTCTAGAGGAGCTAGTCCATCTATGCTCTGGAATTTCTGGTTCTGCCACAAAACCCGTCTGTGACTTGTGTATAAGCCATTTGAAGATGAAGTGAGGGTGCCTTTAATCTGGACATCACTGAGGGTTTTTTATCTGAAGGTTATTAATGACCTCTGTCAGTGTGAAATGGTGGCTTAAAGCATGATGGTCTATCTTAAGCCCCTTGAGTTATCAGAATGGAAAATGTTGCATTTTTATTGTCCATTCACTTCTGAAAACACTAGATTGGTTACCCATTTAATTCCAAATTAGAAAAACTAGCTCTGCTCCTTAGTGCTCCCATAAATCCTCCTGGAGGGAAAAAAATAAGGATACATTTGTAAATGTGTTGTGATTTTTTTTTTTTAGACATTACTTAAAAATCATTCAAGATATGTAAACAAACCCTATAGGCATTCCTTCTCTGTGGACCCCAAGAGAGAGCCTACTCTTTATAAAAGCGAAATATGTGAATTATAAATGGTTGGGCTATAGATTTTAGTTCTTTTTCAACTGTTGGATATACTACTACCTATGTTCCTTTCCCCTCTCCTGAGCCATGCCTCTTGAATTAGGAAGATGAATTACATATTACTACCTGCTTGGAAACATATTCACTATCTTTTTTTTTTTTGGCCTCGCTGTGCAGCATGTGGGATTGTAATTCCCTGACCAGGGATCGAACCCGTGTCCCCTGCAGTGGAAGCTCTGAGTCTTAACCACTGGACCACCAGGGAAGTCCCTACCGTCAGTCTTTTGATTTCCAGCCCTTTAGTGAGATAGACATGTGAGAGACCCCTTAGAAATAGAAATACTTTGTTTAGAAGGTACAAGACCTTGGGACTTCCACTCCTTTAAACATTTATCCATTTATTCATTTGCTCAGCACAGATTTGTTGAATGCCGCCTGTGTTTAGGCACTGGACAGCAGCAGTAAGCAGAGCAGACCCAGTCCCTGCCTTCACGGTGACCTTAGTCTAACAGGGAACTTTGAGACTGCACGTGTGCTCATGTGTGTTATATGTGTTCCAAAGGGGGAACATGGCTTGTTTGGGAGGGTGGATGACAGGGAGGGAGAAATCTAAATCTTTTCTGTTTGAGTTGAAAGAAAATAATAGCACGTGGTTTTAGAGCAGGGACCTTTACGCCTAGGTCCTTAAGCTGGTTCTTCCCTGCAGCCCCTGCATTCGGGCTGCAGGGTTCCCTCCCCTCAGCAGTCAGCACCATGGCCTTCTATGCCCTCTTGCCCCTTCACCACCAGCTCTGGAGAAATAAAGAAGTGCTCATCTTCAAAAAAGGCGAGGGCCCTTTTATAGGACTTATTAACAGATATTTACTTTCTCTTTATAAGATCTTAATTCCCATGTTACCTGTGAAGAAGCTGAAAACATTTTTCAGGTACTGAATTAGAAATTCACCTCTTTTCTTTGTTGCCTTCAGCTGGGCTGTAGCTAAGCCGTTCCAGACTGGAAGGGTTGACTTCTGGAGCTCCCCAATTAGTGCCTTCATAGCCTAATGATGAAGTAGTTACAATGACAGCTAAGGTGTCTTGAGTACTATGTGCCAGTCACTCTTGTAAGCACCTTATACAGTCCGCACAACTCTGTGAGTTAGGTTCAACTGTTGTCTTTGTACAGAGGAAGAAGCAGGCTGAGAGTTTGATGTCTTGCCCCTGGTGACACAGCTAGTGAATTTTGAAGCCAGGCCAGACTCAGGAGTGTGACTCTGCAAGCCATTCTCTTATTGCAACACTCGCAGCCTTGCGGTGTATACTTCCCTGAGCCATTCATAGATAAGGATTCTGAATTTCATTTTCCCAGAAGTAGCCAGTTGCTGAGCGTTGCCTTAGAAACTGGAGTTCATTGTTCAGGATGTAAATTGTGTTTTGTATCAAGATGCCTGAGGTTTGAAAGCAGAACTGACCCTCCTGACATGATGGTTTCTAGTTAACTCTTATTTCCTATTCACCAGATGCTCCTTTAGTTACGGAAGTAAGCAAGGGGTAAAACTAGTTTGGTTTTTAGATTTAGCTTTCTTGTATCTGGATTAGAAGCTCAGAAGCGGAGGAAGCAAGAGCTTATATGTGCTTGCTTTGGAGGGGAGTCTGCTTTCTTGGTAATACTGCAGTTAGTAGGAAGTGCATTTACTGCTCCATAGGTGACACCATGTAAATACAGTTCCTGCTCTACTTCTCACGTAGGCAAAAGGTTGGCTCAGTAGCCTGGAGACTCAGAAGGCTTGAGTCCTTAAATTAAAAGTGATGGGTGCTTTATACTAGATTGGCTTTTTGTTTGGGGGTTTACTTGCAGTAATAATAAGGAAATCTTAAAAGTTTGAGTTTACATGCAAGTTTGAGTTTACATGCAAGTTTGAGTTTACATGCACCATTTGCTGTATGTTTTGACTGGTTTCCAGCAGGGAAAATTGTTAGTGACCAATGATATTCTCTTTCAGTGTCCCTTTTCTTCCAGTGGATTAATCCATCCAGAGAGCTGTGACTTGGCCTCTAAAGTCTAAATCCTATTCTCATCTCAGTGTTGAGCAAGGAGGGAGAGACATAGGTGAAGAATTCAGATTTCTTAAAGATGGGTGAGGAACTAGAAAGGTTAAGTGTCAGCTATACTTCAGTTAAAAAAGAAAAAGAAAAAAAAGATTGATGAGGTGCTAGAAAGGTTAAGTGGTTTGGACAGACATGGAACAAGTTAGTTATTGATTTTTTTTTTGCTTCTCTCTTTCTTTGGCCTTTCATTCCATTTCCCATTCTCCTCCCCTCTCCCCATCCTACTTACATTTCCAATCAGGTATATCTTTGCAAAGACTCTTTTTGAAAATGGTTCCCTCAGTGACATCGAATGGCATATCTATCAGGACTGGCATTATTTTCTCCTGCAGGAGTTTGCCAGCCGGCTCAGATTACATGGCTTCATCTACCTCCAGGCTGCTCCCCAGGTAACACAGAATTTAAAGCCTTAGACTTTAGGGCCATATGAAACTTAAGAGGTGATGTTCTCTGAGCCCCTGATTTTCCAGTTGGAGAAAGTCGATTGTGGGTATTATCTGGAGCACGGAGAGCAATGGATGAGTACCCTCCCATCCTAGCGTGAGCACCCACAGGCTTTCTGAAGCAGAGTGCTAAAGCCAATGACTGTGCGTAGAAAGTGTCCTTCTTGATGTAGCAACCACATAGAGAAAATTGGGCTTTATGTTTATCACCAGGGTCTGCAGGTTCGACCCTCTGATCAGCTAACCTGTAGCCAGTTGCCTCAGCTTTTCCTTCCCTCTAACTGGGTCATCAGAGTCTGTGATGGTCTTGATGGTTTCCTGAATAGCATGTCAGGAGGAGGAAAAATGTTTCCTCACCTCATCCTGATACCATCCTAATTTATAGTCTCCTTTTGAACCTTAAGGGTGCCACTGGTAAGGCAAGATGGACTGTGGAAGTTGCATCCCATGACCCTCTGACTTGGACCGTGGAGCCAGCCCAGCACACAGTAGGGTGATGTTATGGCAGCAGCACTGGAGTCTCTGGAGACAGCAGTGGTCCTTAGCTCTGCCAACAGGCAGTGACCATGCGCAGGCCCTGGAAACCTTTCCCCAGAGGGGTCCTTGTCCATCAAATCCAGTGTCTCAGGCTAGTGATCTCTAAGGGCTCTTCTGGAGTGGGAGTCAAGGCAGGGGGTATTTTTTGAGGGATGTGTTGTTCTCACCTTTTTAGACAAATATCTGACATAGAGTCAAATGCCAGATATACCACATTATCTTAGGAGGGAAAGCTCCCTTCAGGCTAGAGGCCGTGCTTTTAGAGACAGGACTGAGTCTTGTGGAAGGGGGAAGGCTGAGAGCAGATTGACTGATCAGAAAATGGGTGGGAGAGCCCCAGTTGCACAGGCTCACAGGAGCCAGAGACGAGAGGACCGGATGGAAGGGCCTGACCAGTTTGAATGCCTTGGGTGTGACAGGGACCGCGTATTGGGGCTCTTTGTGTCAGGAGCTTCTGAAGATTGTGAGGCAGAAGCTAGATCATAGGAGGAAATAAAGAGATTCCACGGAAGTAAATAGGGTCTCAGGTTTAAAGTGAAACTTAGCTAGAGATGCGGTAAAGCCAGAGAGCTGAGAACCTTCTGTGAAAATAATGAAGCTGAAAGTAGCTGCCTTGCATATTTATGACTTCTTGCACAGTAGTCTTCATTGCCTGGGAGCAGGAATAGAAGAGGCCAATTATGAGGGTGACTGTACTGTAGGGGCGGGGATTGGTGTCAGTGATTAGGGGAAAAGGAGACCCCTGCCAAAAGGATGGTTTGAAGTAGCTGAGTGTAGGGTTCAGGGTGAGAGAAAAATCCTGGCCCCCAGGAGGGCTCATGGATGAGTAAGAGCATTGTGGACTTGAACTGAGTGAAGACTGTGGTTGGATTTTGAAGAGGTGACAGGTTTCCAGTAGGAGTTCATGGGATGGATAGTTGAAAGCAGAAGTAGGTTGAGGGGCTAAGCATTAAGAGAAGAATTGAAAGTACTGACCTAGCCTTTTCCTGGTTCCTAACCTAACCTAACCTAACCTAACCTAACCTGCTGGGACCCTGGGACCCAGCAAGGGAAGGAAGAATGTCTTCCTCACTTCTTTGTGTACTTGGAATGACTTTGTGAGAAGAGACAATGATGATGACAGTGGTGGTGGTGACTGTTATTTTTATGGTGTGGCTGATACATCTTTTTGGAGAGACGAATTGAGGTATTTCAGCTGGGGTAGAATAAGGGTTGAAGGATTACTGCAACTTGATGGTAGAAAAAAATAGCTTATTCATTTTGATATTGAATGGGGATTTTGGTGCTATTTTGATGGCATTAGAGCCAGGAACCAGGAATGTCGAGATCCTTCCCCTGAAGTCACCACTGACCTCTTCTTCTGTGAGACCCAAAGGGAACTATATCTAAGAGAGAGCAGAACAGAAGTGAAAACATCTCTGTGTAGAAAGCTGTGCAAGTGCTCAATACCCTGGCAGATGCTACGTTTAAAGCTCGAGGGATGGGCTCAAGTAGGGCCTTTTGCTCCTTCCCACCTACTCTCCCCTAAATTGTAAAAAGCAAGCGAGCCAACAGTAAAAAATCAGAAGAGAAATGGCTGGGCCTCAGTGCCCCATGGAATCGGGAAGAGAGAGTGCAGCTGGCCAGTGTGCCTCCAAGAGCCAGGCCGTGTTTGCAGTCTGGACACAGTGTGCTGTAAAGGCCCAGGAACAAGTGGCACCTGGATGCTGGGCTTGAGAAGCACAATGGCCAGACCCACTAGCAGTCACTGTGCAGTTGCTGTCTCTGACTTCAAGCAGTCTGAACAGCAGCTCTTCTGGCGGTGGGGATGCAGCGGGCAGGGGAATGAAGGGGCAGCTGCCATTTCCAGCTGCACTGTCTTTCCTATTCACATTCAGTATGTCCTCCCCATGAGGACTGAGGTAAAGAGGGACCAGACTAAAGCACTGTCTGCACAGGTTTTTTTTTTTAAAGAACTTGTTGTAACCATATCACTAAAGCAACAATTATGCCAAATGCTCAAAATAGAAGTTTACCTAGGCTTCTGGAGGGAAGAAAAGTTTGCTCTGTTAAGCAGATTAACAGTGCAAAGGGAAATGTTAGCCCAGTTTAGCAGGAGAGACCTTAGCATCAATGTGTGCCTGCCAGCAATGAATGAATAATTATAGCTTTTATAAAAAGAATTGCTCTGCCCTGTGTATAATTGAAACCATAAAGCCACATTCTAAAAAATACGCATTTTCATTAATTCTGATAATATTTTTCTCTCAGGAAAATTAGGTAGCTTTGCTATATTTAGAAATCCTGAAGCTACCTTGCTGGCAGGAATGTGAATTGGTCAGCCTCTAAGGAGGCAGTTTGGCAGCGTATACTAGCAGTGCACATACTTTTGACCTATTAATCATGCTCCTTGGAATTTACTCCATAAATATGCTCCCACATAGGCAAAATGGTTCATGTGCAAGGCAACATTGTTTACAATAGCAAGTTATTGTAAACAACCCAGTAGTCATCAGTAGGGACCGGTTGAATAGATTATGCTCCATCCATGCACTGATAAATTCTGAAGTCATGAAAAAGAACGAGAAAGTACTATACTGACATGTAACAATCTTCAAGACATATTGTTAAGTAAAGAAAAATAAGAACTAAGTGCGTGGTAGGAGACCTTTTATATGTATGGGGTTTTTTTTTAAAGGTGGGGTTAAGAATGTGAAATGCGTGAATCTTTCTGAAAGTATACAACAAGTCACTAACATCTGTCATCAGTGGGGCGGAGAACTGGGTATCCGGAAGTCAGTGGTGTAAAGCTGTGTGATGGGCAGGCAGGGGAACAAGGGGAGACGTCTGGAAGCAGTCAGTGATGAGGATGCCAGTAGGGGCAGGATGACCGAAGGAGAAAGAGGAGGTTCAGAGCGAAGGAAAGCAGAAATGGAGAAGAGTCAAGTAGGAGCAAAAGGCCGATAGAGACAGACTAGGTCAGAAATGAAAACGTTCAGTGAGTATGTGCAACAAATATTTATTGACCACCTGCTCTACCAGACCATGCGCTCAGCCCTGAACCAGACGGACTCTGGCCTGCCTCCTGGGTCTCCCCCAGTCACTGTGCCCTTAGAGCACCCTGTGCAGACCTCCCTCTGTCACCTGATACAGCTGAAATACCACTGGGGGTCTGTGTTTGTCCAGGGCCTAGCGTAGCGCCTGGCTCGCAGAGTCGTGCTGGGTAAGCTGGTACTGGAGATAAAGGCAGAGCCCTGCCTCTTCCAGGAAGCGCCTCTGACTGCCTAAGCCCAACTGCTGCCTCCCTTACCTGACCGCCGCACTTAAGATCCAAACCTCCCAGTTCAGCGCTTGATTTGCTATTTTGTGTATGTCGTTTTACTTGTTACCTGACTAGATTATAGAATCCCTAGGACAAGGACTTCATCTAAGTTTAGAGCAGTTCTTAATTCAGGGGAAAGAGATGAAAAGGGATAAGTGCTAAAAGTATTAACATGTTAGATCTGTGTTAATCAGTTTGAAAAGTTGGACATAAGATCATAAATGAAATGTGTTTATATGATTTTCTTTCCTTAGAGGAAAGATGGGACAAGAGGGAAACAGCAAAGACTCTGCATCTTTAGGGATATTGTACCCTACGTTTGGGGATAAAGTTTACATTTGGGAATAAAGTTTAAATGTTTGAAAGAGAGAAGTCCTAAATCAGTGAGTTAATCTACTTGTTCTTCCCAGGACAGATGACATTGAATAATAAAGCATTTGCCAGGGAGAGAGAGGACGGAAGGCAATTCAGGCAAAGCAAACATTCAGAGCAAAAGTTTTGAGATGTGAAAGAGCTTGATCTGTACCGCAGTCAGGAGATCAAATCTGGCTGAAGCCGTGGGTCCAGGGGAGGAAGGAGCTAAGGAAGTTGAAAGTGGAGAGTTAGGAGGGGTGGCCAGACTCTGGGAATGGCCTTGTATGACCAGTAAAGGAGAAGGTGACATTCCCTGAGCCATTGTGCTTCAGACTTTATGATCAGAGTGAAATTATGCACACTCTGGAAGGAGTGGAGGACGGAGAGTTAGTCTCAAGCCTCGCTTTTTTTACTTCTTTACCTTTGACCTATGCAGAATTTGCATTGTGCCCCGGAGTGAGTGTTTGATATGATATGAAAGAGATGTTTCAAATTACTTACCCTTTGGTAAATATGATGTTCCTCATACTTCCTTGAATCCGGGCTGAAGGCGATAAGGACCCTGTGAGGTATTTTAAGCAAGGAGAGTAATACCGTTACAGTCAACCCTCCATATCTGCAGACACAGACCCCACTGATGTGGAGAGCCCACTGTCATTTCATACACATAAGGGACTTAAGGGACAGATACTGAGGGACAACTGTATATTGCAATACTCTGGAAGGGTGGACTGAGCAGGAAAACTGGGAGGAAAGACAGCATTTGCCAGGAACTTGACGGGCTCCCTCTGTAAATCTTCACAGCGACCCGTGGGATTGATGAAGGGGGAGGAAATGGAAGCCCACAAAGCTTGCCCCGCTGCTGCCTGGTGAAGACGGGAATTTAACCCTGGACTTTGAGACTTTAGGGCCTGTGCTTTTTCCACATGCTTCACTGCTTCCGGGAGGCAGGGAGCCAGAAGGCGCTTGCTCGTTGTCCAGGTGAGAGATGATGAGGCCTGACCAGGGCAGAGGTGAGAGAGGCAAGGTGAGAGCCAGCTGAAGAGAGATTAAAGAGAATTCGGTGACTTCCTGGATGTGGCTGGGAGGAGGAAAAAAAGGTTAATTCCAGGTTCCCAGGGTAGATGATGTTTGTTATTAACCTGTGATTGAATAAAAAAACAAGGCAGCAGAAGCAAAGTCGTAGTGCTAGTGCCCAGGATAGACATGGCAAGTGGGTCTGAGAGCACCCCAGCTTTTGTAACAGCTGAAATAACCAAAGAGCTCAGCAGATCCTGGGGATTGTCTTTCAGGTTTGTTTGAAGAGACTACACCTGAGGGCCAGGGAAGAGGAGAAAGGAATTGAGTTGGCGTATCTTGAGCAGCTTCATGCTCAGCATGAAGCCTGGCTTGTCCGCAAAACAACCCCGTAAGTGGAGAAGAGAGCAGCAGTGGACAGAGGCCTGCCTTCCTGCAGCCGGTCATTAAAATACAGGAAGTTCAACATGCAGCCCCTTAAGCAGGTTCAGAATGTGCTGGAAGTGGTTGGAATTGTCAAGCATTATCCAAATCAGAAATTTAATATTGGATATAATCTATATATTCCAATAAACTTTTTATTAGATTCTATTTCTCCAGCTTTTTTGTTTTTTGACATTCCCTGACTGACCATGGTGATTGATTATGATGACATAGTTGGCTCAGGGTAAAGGGCTGAAAAATTTTAGAGAAATTGTCAATGTACTAAGTTGACATTCCTAGTTTCAGCCTTTCCTCCCTTCAGGCTTGGTGTGGTGTCCATTTAAAATGTTTGAGGCTCTGACCTTCAGTATCAGTCTCAAGACTAAAGAGGAATGTCAGCCTCATCTTCCCAGCCAACTTTATTGAATTTTTTTTAAACTACCGTTTACATGAAATTTCCTTAAGAAGGTGTGTGACCTTAGATCTGTTCTGAATTATTAAGACTGGTGAGTATCATCTTTTTTCTGTTCCCTAAATGTTCATGCTTCTTATAGGCTCTACTCTGAGGCTCTGCTGAACATTCCAGTGCTGGTATTGGATGTCAATGATGATTTTTCTGAAGAAGTAACCAAACAAGAAGAGCTCATGAAGAGGGTGGGGAAGACCTTAACTCCTGCTTTCTAGTAGATTTCCTTTTTTGCACTTTTATTGCTTCAGACTTCAGCATGGGCCCTGTGCATTGTGCCTCAAATTGCATTTCACACTCCAAAGCCTGTGGGGCCTTGTACAAGTTAGTAATATAATCCCTATTCTCTAATATTTGGGGCCAATAACTGTTAAATACTTGACTTGTAATATGTGCTTTCCAGCTGACTCCCTCCTCTAAGGTATTCTGGAACTAGGCAAATGAAACTTCTGGATTCTATCCAGCTCTGCCACTTGATACTCTAGGACCCTGGGCAGGTCACATTTCCTTTCCATACCTATTTTCCCTTCCTCACGAAAACTCATGGGCTTGGCTACATATGCATTATGGACGGACTATTGTGTAGTCTCCTGAAAATGTGAAATTAACTTTTGGTTTTTCTCTTTCCCACAGGTAAACACCTTTGTAAAGAATCTATAACCAGTACCAGGATGTTCTAGCTGTGATCTGGGCTCTCTGACTTTTTGAAGCCAGAAGAATACCAAGTCACCCACCTTCCCATCCCCACTCCCATCTCCTTTTACACCTAGAGTGCTCTGACACTCAGGGGTTAGGTTTCTATTATCCTTGGACCCTGCCTTTGTCTTTGTTTATATCTCAAGGACTTCTTAAATAAAGTCTACATTTTTGTGGATTTTGCTATCCAGTTGTTCATTTATTTCAGCATGTGTCTACTGGTGCCTGCTCTGAGCTCCCCTCTAGACTGGCCATTTTCACGTGAGAAAAGTCTTTGCTTTTCTTCTTCTTGAATCCTTCACCAGCCAGACTTCCCTGTGTGTTTACTGGCTCCTTCTGACATGCCAGGGCGGGAACTGCTTCTAGGACCCCTAACCAAGCTCTGCCTTAGGCATGAAGAAGGGAAGTAAAGTGACTCAGGAGTGGGTGGATGCTCAAGTGTGAGTCCCCAGAGCCAGGAAATGGAGCCCAAACTCCAGGAAGTTCCTCTGTCTCTTCCCATCCAGCACTCTTGGTTTGGGGGATGGGGTGGGGATTTAGACCTTTGTCTTAGAGCTGAAGAACCTGGATGAAAGAAAGGGAGGGAAGGGGGGAGAGAACAAATCATGAGCCTAAAAGTTCAGCATCTGATATTTAGGGTTCGGTCATCCTGGCACTCTGGCCTGCTCCAAACACCTGACCCAGTGAGTTTCAGGTGACCTTAATGGAGTGAATCTGTCTATGCTGGAAAGAAAGAAAATAATTCTTTGTGCTGCGCTTCAAGCTTCAAGGACAGTTTATTGTTAAGAGAGAAAAATACATGGCTCTATAGAATGGAAGTGCTTCATTGAAAGAACACTGCAGATCCACGATTCACCGGAATCGGAATTCCTGCACTGAGCCTTTGACAGTTGCACAGGCCCGCAGGAAAATGAATGAGCTTGGGACCCAGAGTGTCCCAGGAGACAGAAACCTGTGTTTCCCTTGATGCTTGGGAAAACGAGTGTGAGACTGGTTTCTAACAACTGTGGGATGTTTTGAAATAGCATGGCATTTCTTTATCCTACTTTAAAAAAAATTTTTTTTTTTAATTTATTTTTGGCTGCCTTGGGTCTTCATTGCTGTGCGCAGGGGCTTCTCTTTGTTGTGGTGCGCGGACTTCTCATTGTGGTGGCTTCTCTTGTTGCGGAGCACAGGCTGTAGGTGCGCGGGCTTCAGTAGTTGTGGCTCGCGGGCTCTCCAGAGCACGGACTCAGTAGTTATGGCGCATGGGCTCTAGAGAGCAGGCTCAGTAGTTGTGGCGCACGGGCTTAGTTGCTCCGCAGCATGTGGGATCTTCCCGGACCAGGGCTCGAACCCGTGTCCCCTGCATTGGCAGGCGGATTCTTAACCACTGCGCCACTGGGGAAGCCCCTATCATGCTTAAGAAAGTGTTAATGGCTTTACTGAGATGTAATTCACATACCATACAATTCACCCATTTAAAGTGTACAATTCAGTAGTTTTTAGTATAGTCATAGGGTCGTGCAACCATCTCCACAATCAATTCTAGAATGTTTTCATCACCCTCAGAAGAAATGCCACACCAGCCGCTGTCACTCCCCCACAATCCCCACCCACATGCGCCCCACCCTGGGCAATCACCAGTCTACTTTCTATCTCTACTGATCGGCCTATTCTGGACATTTCATATAAATGGAATCACATACTATGTGGCCTTTTGTGACTGGCTTCTTTCATTTTAAGGTTTTCAGGCTTCATCCAAGTTGTGACACGTATCAGTACTTCATTCCTTTTTATGACTAAATATTTCGTTTTGTGAATATACCACATTTTGTTTATCTATTCATCCATTGATGCACATGTGGATTCCATTTTTTGACTATTAAGAATAACACTGCTATGAAAATTCATATACAGGTTTTTGTGTGGACGTATGTTTTCATTGCTCTTGGGTATATACCGAGGAACGGAATTATTGGGTCAAATGATAACTCCACGTTAACTGTTTGAGGAACTGCTAAACTTCCAGAATTCCATGTTACATTCCCTCCAGCAATGTATGAGTGTTCCACTTTCTCCACATCCTTGCCTTCTATCATTTTGATTATAACCATCCTAATAGGAGGAGTGAAGGCGTATCTCATTGTGGCTTTGATTTACTTTCCCTTAATGGCTAACGATGTTGAGCAAAACTTTTCATGTGCTTATTGGTCATTTGTATAGCTTCTTTGGAAAAAAATGTCTATTCGAATCCTTTGTCCATTTTTTCCAATTCTGTTATTTGGCTTTTTATTGTTGAGTTGTAAGGGTATATATTCTGGATACAAGTCCTTATTATGTATATGATTTACACATATTTTCTCCCATTCTGTGGGTTGTATTTTCATTTTGATAGTGTCCTTTGAAGCACAAAAGTTTTTTATCTTGATGAAGTCAAATTTATTCTTGTCACTTATTTTGGCACCACGTCTAAGAAAGTTTTGAATAACCCAGGGTCACAAACATCTATGTTTTCTTCTAAGAGTTGTATAGTTTTAGCTCTTACATTAAGTCTGTGATCCTTTTTTTTTTTTTTTGCCGTACGCGGGCCTCTTACTGTTGTGGCCTCTCCCGTTGCGGAGCACAGGCTCCGGACGTGCAGGCTCAGCAGCCATGGCTCACGGGCCCAGCCGCTCCACGGCACGTGGGATCTTCCCGGACCGGGGCACGAACCCGTGTCCCCTGCATCAGCAGGCGGACTCTCAACCACTGCGCCATCAGGGAAGCTCTATGTGATCCATTTTGAGTTAATTTTTGTGTAGAGTGTAAGGAAGGGATTCAACGTCATTCTTTTGCATGTGTATATCCAGTTATTCCAACACCATTTGTAGAAAAGATGAATCTTTTCTCCCATTGAATTGTCTTGGCAACATGTTGAAAATCTGTCCCACTTGTTCTTGTGTTTATTTGCTGCTTCAGGCTTTGGACAAGACCAGGGATGAACACAGGGTATTAGGTGTGTTTTGGAAACTCAATGGTTTTGGTCCTTTAGCTTTGAGGGGCCTGAATGTTTCATTCCCATTTAAGTTTCCAGGAACCACTAATGTAGAAATCACCTGTAAACCCAGAGTAAGAGCACTAGGCCCCCACCCTCCATTCATTTATTCAATCATCAACAAATATTTGACTCTCTGTCATATACTAGGGACCAAGGAGATAACAGTGAACACAACAGAAGGCAGACCTTGTCCTCACCTCACAGAACTTGTCATCTAATGGAGGGTGATAGACACTGAACAAGTATTGCAGGTGTAGTGACTGTTTCAAAAGATGTACAGGCGTACTGTGGGGGCCTATAACAGGAGGAGCCACCGTAATCTGGGATAGTCCCCCTGCAAAAGTGACATCTATTCTGAATTCTGAAGAATGAGTGGGGGTATTTAGGCAGAGAAAAATGTTGTGTGCCAAGGCCTTCATGTGAGAATGAGGCATTAGGCCCAGACTGTCAAAACTTGATGAGGTTAATGAGCTTATCATTTAAGAATATCCTCCTCGGCGCTTCCCTGGTGGCGCAGTGGTTGAGTCCGCCTGCCGATGCAGGTTCGTGCCCCGGTCCGGGAAGATCCCACATGCCGCGGAGCGGCTGGGCCCCGTGAGCCATGGCCGCTGAGCCTGCGCGTCCGGAGCCTGTGCTCCGCAACGGGAGAGGCCCGCATACCACAAATAATAATAATAATAATAATAATATCCTCCTCTCCACATTCTTCACTTAGTCTTCTAAAGTCTGAAAATCTACAAGTTCAGCGTTTCTTTCCATTTGTAAACATTGCCTTTAGAATGTAAATGTTCTCTAAGATAGTCAAAGCCATCAACAGTCTCACCTGGGTGAAATAATTTGCCATTTTCCAAATTGGTAGCTGAGCTGGTCTGGCGAGAGAGAGTACATATTTAATGAGAAGTAGTTTGGGACTTTTAAGGATGGGTTTGGAGGTAGGTCTGGGTGAAGTGTTTAAATATGGAGATTAGGCCTGCACTGGCAGGCCAGTCTGGGTGGGCTGGTCTCACTCTTGGATTAGACGGTCCCGCAGAGTCAAATAACTGGGATTAACACATTAAAACAGCTACATTTCTTTCCGGCTTACGATGTGGTAAAACCTGCTGTTCTAGAACCAGAATAATTACCTTAATGGGTTTATAACGTGGATTGAGGCTGTGAAAGTTCTCAAACTCTCAGGCTTTTAACATGAAGGGAGAAGGTGAAGTTTCAGGTGAAAGAGGCTGTTTTATATACAAATGCGAGAATCACTGGGAAAATGAAGCAATAAAATAACATGTATTTTAAAATTGAAAGACTAACCTTCTTCAGCCCTCACTTTAAAGAGTAGGCAGTTTAAATCTCTGGACCACTTTCTCCTTTTTTTTTTTTAAATTTTAGTGTTTATTTAGCCATGCCGGGCATTAGTTGCGGCACACGGGATCTTCCTTGTGGCATGCGGGATATTTAGTTGCGGAATGCGAACTCTTAGTTGCAGCATGTGAGATCTAGTTCCCAGACCAGGGTTTGTACCCGGCCCCCTGCATTGGGAGCGTGGAGTCTTAGCCACTGGACCACCAGAGAAGTCCCTACTTTCTCCTTCTTGGAACTCTTTCCTTTGTTGGTCTCTTCTGGCTTTTCTACTACTTGGTGTCTCCCTTTCTGTCTCCTTGGCTGACTCACCTTTGTTTCCTCTCCTCTAAAGTGTTGGTGTTGCCCCAGGCACCCTTGGCTCACTTCTGTCTTTACTCACTCCTCTTGTTTGTGGTCTTGTATTTGTTTTCTATTGTCGCCATATCAAATTACCATAAAGGTGACTTAAGGCAGTACAGACTTATTATCTCACAGTTTTGTAAGTCAGAACTCTACCATGGGTCTCATTGGGTTAAAATCGAATTATCAACATGGCTGTGTTCCTTTCTGGAGGTTCTAGAGGAAAATTTGTTCCCTTACCCTTTTTGTCTTCTAGATGCTGCCCACATTCCTTGGCTTGTGGTCCCTTCCTCTTCAATGTTGCATCTCCGACTCTTCCATCATCACATCTCTCTCTGACCACAGCCAGGAAAGGTTCTTTGCTTTTAAGGGCCCACTTGATTACATTGGGCTCATCTGGAGAATCCAGAATACTCTCCCATTTCAAGGTCTTTAGCCTTAACTACATCTGCAAAGTCCCTTTTGCT